GCACCTAGCTGGGTAGTGTGGAACCAGGACTAGAATTCTGACCTGCTGACTCCGAATCCAGTGCTCTTTCTCGAGTTTCAGGGACCTGTGTTTCCCTTTGCCCTGAGCTCTGATGATGGGAGGCCTGGTGTGGCCCTGAGGCCAGGTGCCCTCGCCAGTGGTCATGCGACTCACCCCGACTCACTGTCTGATCTCGACCCACCCCAGCCCTCTGAGGCTCAGCTTTCCTCCCGGGAAAACTAGGATGAGGCGCACCCCATCGGCGCCACAGGGCCATCGGGGAGCACCTATCGACTCACATAACTTCAGTTCGAGGTCAGCAAAACCTTTCTTATCTGGTGGATCCAACACTTTTGGAAGTCATCCGGCATCAGAAAACAGGCAAAAATGATTTCTGAGCAGAGCGAAAGGGTAGTTGAAAACATCCATTCGTGCAGCAAAGCTCGTGCTCTTTGCTTATAAAAACATCCCTCGGGCCCTCGTTCCAGGCCTATTCGCTCTTACTTTGCAAATAGTGCTGACAAGTTTGGTGGTCTAGTTTCTCAGGCCACAACAGGTATACTGAGGGTAGTGAGAAGAACTTTATGATGACACAGGAGGCAGAAAAACTGTGAAATGCAGATCTAGTAATTAAAAAAAGCAAAGCAGACGGGATATACCTTGATAATCCCTGCGGCTAACCCTGTATTACAGTCCAGTCTACTAATTAGTGTTGTCGGAAGGGCCCTGAGTCATCAAGAAAGGGCAAAGCACGCAGTGCCCTCTGAGCAGCCAGGGGCGTGTAGGATCCCCTGTGGAAAAATTTCTACCAAAAATTGAAAAAAAAAAAAAAAAAGAAAGAAAGAAAAAGTGTTGCTGTTAAAAGAGGTAAGTCATGGCTACAAAAAATGAACCTGTGACATCTTATTCTGGGCCATGCCAGGCACCTGGGATGGGGGGAGCTGGTCCCGTATGAGAACCAGGCCCCACAGGATGCTGGTTTTGTTCTCCTCCCCCATCGAGGTGCCTCCCACCTGCATAACAAACTGGCTCTCCTGCCGTTTCTCACTGTTTCTCTCCCCTTTAATCCATGCCGAGGAAGAGTCATCCTCCTTAATTTGGGCTCTTCTGATAAGGAGCCTCTGGTTTTGGCCAGGGCCGACCGCGTGTGCTGGGTCAGCCCCCATCAGGCCACGCCAGGAGACTGGGTCCCCGGACCACCGCCCTGCTGAGCGGCCCCCTTCCCACATATTTAACGACTCTGTCACCAGAATGTGCGGCTCTGTGTGGTCACCCACAGCACCTCGAGGTGTCCCTTCTTTATGTGGCACCCTGCACTGCCTGGCTCCTCACTGCCTCCTGGCAGGTGGGCAGGAAGGGAGGGGTGCATCGGCCAAGGTGTGAGGGTCTTGAGGGCAGACAGGACCCTGCTGGAATCCTGTGTCTCCTCTTTCTGGTGGCGAGACCTGGGCTAGATTAACCTCTCTCAGTCCGAGTCCGAGTTCTCCCCTGTGCACGATGGAGAGGGTGCCCGCCTTGGGCGTAGCGTGGGAGAGGAGGGTGCTTGGTTGGGTGCCTGGCTTAAGACACACCCATAATGTTAGCCGTACCTCTGTGACCTTGGGCAAGTCCCTTCCCTAGAAGGGCCTTGATGGCCTCATCTGTGAAATGGGAGGGTGGGCTCTAAATCACCTTCCACATCCTGACAGCCTGTAGCATTTGGAAGGGCTGTGGGGAAAAGGGACCTAGTAACTTCCAGGGATCCACAGAAGGTGCAGTTGCTGGAAGGAGGCCCAGGGAGCCCTGCTCCTGTCCCAGACACTCAGAAGGTGAGGAAGGGGCAAGGCCACCTTCTGATCCACGCCCTGCACCCTAAGCGGGAGATTCCTCCAGCACCATTGCCCAGGTGGCCACGGCTTCTGCCAGAACGTGTCTGGGGACTGCTCCCTTGGGAGGCGGCTCCTCCGCTGTGGGCAGCTCTGGTTGCTATGTGACCCCCACCTGTCCTCCCGGGGTGCCCCCTCTGAGCCAGTTGTTCCTGACCAGGCACCTCGAGCCACCTGGATCCTGTGACCCCTGCCTTGGAAACGTTTCCTCCCCCGATTCTTCCTTTCCGTCTGTTCAGGTCACATGATAAAGGTTTGTCACTCTGCCTCTCTGAGCCTGTTTCCCTGCTTTTAAAATGGGGTCAGAAGTATCTGTCATCTGGCGGGGCTGCTGTGAGGATTGTGTATTTGAAAACTATAAAGCCCCATTCTAACATACAGGCTGGTTCTCTAAGCCTCAGTTTCCCCAGGTGTAAAATGGGTGTAAGAACTGTATTTCCTTCCTTCATGGGGCTCTGGGAAGACTGCAGCCAGGTGTCGATGTGAACGGGCTGGGGAAGAGGGAAAGTGCCGTGGGACAATTCAGGCTCACCGGGGCAGAGCGTCTTTAGCTCGGCAAACACAGATTCTTGGGGCTGCCTGGCTGGCGCCAGGCTAAGGCATAAGCAGCCACTGCGTCTGCTCCCAGAGTGGGCCACCCACCTCCTTGGAAGTCTGTATCTAGTAGAGCTCCTCTTTTGACCCATGTCCCCACCCCGGGTCAGCTGCGATCAGGTCCGCAGCAGGGAAAGGTGGGACTCCTGGCTCAGGTGACACCCTGCAGGGCTGATGTATGTACCCATGAGGCGTAGTACCTGGGGTGCTGCTATGGACTGAACGTTTGTTTTCCCCCAAATTCATGTCTCGATCCCAATCCCCGACCTGATGGTGTTAGGAGGTGGGGCCTTTGGGAGGTGGGTCGGTCATGAGGGTGGAGCCCTCATGAATGGGGTTAGTGCCTTCGTGAAAGAGACCCCAGAGAACTCGCTAGCCCCCTTTCTGCCATGTGAGGATATCAGAAGTCAGCAGTCTGCAGCCTGGAAGAGGGGCTTCACCCGACCCGGACCAGGCTAGCATCCTTCCCTCGGACCCCCGTCCTCCGGAACCTGCTATTTATCAGTCCCCCAGCCTGTGGCACTTGCTACAGCTGCCCACGTGGACATAATGCTTTTTAGGGGCCCACAAAATGGTCCAATTTCAAGTCAGAATTTAAAAATGAAATTCTAGATGGAAAATAATGTTTTAATAAATGTTTGTCTTTACACCAACGTGGTCATAAATGACAGTTTTTGTCATTTTTTTGTGGAAGAAGGGGGGAGATGAAGGCAAAAGTGCCCGGGGCCCCTGACAGTTGCGACACAGCCCATTGTCCGCGGTATGCGTTCTGTGCCACTCTCCAGCAACATGCTGGCGCCCCTGCCCTTGTTGCAAACGCCAGCCTGGTTTCAGCCCAGACGGGCCCCGCGGGCCTGAGGACACGTTGCACATTACGATGGGCCCTTTTGTGTGACAGCACCAGACTTTGTGACATCGCTCCTACTCCTGCCCACCCCCAAAATCCTTGACTTGAGGTATTTCCTCACGGTTCCCACAGCTGCGGGTAGCCTGCCGGCCCTGCCAGTCCCAGGAGGCGCCGGCTGCTCCTTCCGTCTGGCTGGTGCGACTGGCGTCCCCCGGGCTGGTGCTCTGCAGCGGGAGTCCCAGAGGGACTCGCTTGCTCTCTGGGCTCACCCGAGCCCTGGCTCTTCCGCCCACCAGCCTGGGGCTCATCTGTAAGGTGGGAATCAGAGACACTCGTCTGCCTACTTCAGTGGACCAACCGAGACAGGGTAGGGAGGCCACTGGGGTGTTTCTGGAAGGAAAGAGACCATGAACACTGGAGGCATAACCACTTCTTTCCCCTCCAACTGCTCGGTCCCTTCTTTTTCTGCTGTTTGCCTTGGTACTTGAAAGGCCCTTACACATTGTGTGTGTGTGTGTGTGTGTGTGTGTGTGTGTGTGTGTTCTAGCTTATTCATCCAAAATAGCCTCCCCTACCGATAGCCCCAGTAAAAATGTAACCTATTCTCACAACGACAGAAGAACCCTAACAGCAGAGATGGTGGTGAAATGCGGGATTAAAACATTTGTTATTTGGATGATGTGTTTCTTAGTATCCAGTAATTTAGAACCTTCTGGAAGCAGGACTGAATCACCCAGAAACATCCCCTCTCCCCTTCTGGGGAAGTGTTTGGTAAGACTCCCCTTCCCCACCTTCTCCCCTACCTTCAGACACCTTTAATTTTGCCTCCAATTTCTGCTCCTGCTCCTTTGTATTTCTGCAAAAATATTTGGCTTGACAAGTATCTCAATGGTTTAACTAACACCATCTCCCTCTACCTAGTCTGTGAACTTCTGGCTGTCCCTGTGCGGGGACATGGTGGGAGTTGTGAGTCAGTAAGGGACAATGCCCACATCTCAGCATGCCCTCCCCAGGCTCCTGTGCCACCGTCCCAGCCAGGCCAGGGGGACGTGAGTGGGTGGACACTCTGGTCACCTCCCTGAGGAGCTGAAAGACTAGCAAGTTCTAGCCAGAGAGGATCCTCAAGTAGGAGCTGTTACCAGAGGCAGTGTCCCCAGTGCCCTGCCATGGGAGGGATTGTGCAAAACAAGGGACATGTCATCACAGAAAAATAAATCACTGGGCCCTTTGGGGACCCTTCAACGAAAGACTCATTTGACCAACCAGGATTGGACAGTCTTGCTGTTGACTTTTGGAAGCTGCTAGGCCCAAGTCCCAGCCCTCTTGAAATGAGTCATTTCCAAATGCCACAGTGACATTTCCGGGGAAAGGGTAGGTTTGGGGGTTGGTTAAACCAAACCTTTAGTGCGAGAGCCATTCTCTCTAGGCCTGGCCTAGTTCTACCAACTTGGATGGGTCCGTTCCCAGATTCTGGGAGCACAAACCTGCTTCACCCCCATCCTCCTGGACCAGCTCCTTCACAGCCTTCCTCCACCCGACCCTGCCCTGCTCCCCGGCAGCCAAAGCTCGGGAATCTTCTCACTCGCTCTCCTCCTGGGCAGGGGCTCCTTGAGGGCCCGGCCAGCACCTGCCGGGGCACAAGAGCCCGTGGGAAAGATTTCCTTTGCTGAACACACAGAGAACACGCGTTGGGGGCCTTTTTTGGTTTTTTGGTGGTGTTTATTTTGTTAAACCCGATTGCAGTTTGGGCTCAGCTGGAAAGCAGGACACACGGACGACGGAGGGAAGGCGGGCGCGCGAGCAGGAGTCCGCTGCAGTTCTGGCGGGAGGCCCCGGCCCTGCTGCAGGGAGGCGGGTCCTGCTGTCCAGCTCCCAGCGGGCGCAGGGGCGGCGGCCAGCCCTTCCGCGCAAGTGTCCCGGGCACGGGAAAGCCGTCTTCTCTCTGACCCTCGTCCTCAGAGGCCCTGCCAGAGGTTTCCCAACAGAGAGCTCGGCGGCAGCGGGGGACTCGACTCCCCGGGTGGCCCCGGGAGGCCGTGGGACCAGGAGCGCTGGCCGGTGTCTGATGCCGGATAACAGACCGGGACTTGGCTGCTGGCGTCTGGGGCGGCCCCATGGGGGGGGGGAGGGGGCTGCTCCGGTGGCGGCCCCCGCCCCTCCAGCTGCCAGGCCCGCTCCGCGGTACAGTTCCCACACCCCCCCACCGCATCCCTCGGAGAAAGTAAAATAAAATAAAATAAAAATTAGAATAAATAGCGACTCGGCCAACATTTACATTTACATGACGGACAGGACGAACCCCAAACCGTGAAGGTTTACAGACTGATCGAGGAAGGACAAGCAGACGGAAGTGGGGGTGAGGGGGCACACTCCCCACCGGGGGACGTGGGGCTCCCGGCCTCGTCCAGGGCAAGCTGGGAGCCTCCCCGGGGGCTGCGGCCCAGAGCGCAGGCAAAGCCACCGGGCCGTGGGGAGCAGCGCTGTGGCAAGCCGGCCGCCGCAGAGGAAAACAATGACTAACTCATCCTGACAGGCAGGGGGGAGCGACCGGGACAGGATCGACATCAGATGGCCGGGCAGACCTCCTCCACGCGCCAAGCACTGTGGGCAAGTGGGGAGGACACCAGAGCCTCAGAAACGCAACGTCCAGCTCTGCCTCCCAGCGAACACACTGGGAGGTCGGCGTGGGCACGGCCGCCCTCACTCTTCACAGGGCGGGGGCGGGTGTGCGGGGCACCCGCTTCTGCCCCCAGGTCCTGTCTGAGTGGTCTCCCCTGGGGAGCTGCCTCGGAGCCTCAAATTTTAGGCTTTGCTGTTGTTTCTGGACAAGAAAGAAAAAATGTTTTTTTTTTTTTTTTTTTTCCAACGTTTTCCTTCCACGTCTGAGAAACGAGCAGCGACCTGCGTATTTAGAAAAACGGCTCGAAGTGTTGTTCGGGTTGGCCAGGAAGCGCTTTCAAGCAATGGAACAAACTAGGCGAACCGTACGCCTGGAGCCACCGTGACACGACACGTAGTTAAAAATATATTTATATATGTGTACATATTTATATCTCACTTCTCCACACTCCTAACAGCCAGGGAGGGCGGCCCTGGGGCAAGGCCACCAAGGAGGGCGCGAGGAGGAAGGGGCGTCAGGCCTCGGGGCGTCCACGGCCCTGTCGCCGCTTCTGCGAGGCGCCAGCCCCCCGCACAGTGTTTGGGAGCTCCCTGCAAGAGGCTCGTTCTCCGGGCCGCGGCAGGGCGAGGGGCCGCTCGCAGGCCTCTCGGCAGATGCAGGCACACCCCGCACACCCTCTGGGGGGGAGCAGGGCTCGCAGAGGGCGGCGTGCCCGGCTGGGCTGCCTGACCGCGAGAGCGTGACCCCTGGTGCCCTCTGTGAGCACCCTCGCGCCAGCCCCTCTCCCCTCAAGGCCTCTCGCTGGGCGTCTGGGGTCCCTGGGCCCCGGGCTGGGCCTGCATGGAGCCCGAGGAGCAGAGGCAGGAGGCAGAAGCTTGAGGAAGCGAGTGAAGAAAGACGTGGGGGAGAGGTGGGCAGAGCGGGGGCCAGGGGCAGCTCGGGCTCTGTGGCAGAGGCCACAGACCTGTTTCAGGTAAACCTGCTCCCCATCACCCCGTCCCCCACAGGCTCTCTCGGGGGGCTGGCCCAGGCTCCAACACTGGGGCCAGACCTGGGAGAAGTGGGGAAGCGGCACCCCACCCGCCTGCTCTCTCAGAATCAGCAAGGGGAGACCCTCCCCGCCCCTCCCCTCCCAGCCAGCTGGTCTGAGCACACCAGGAGGGGCCCCATCGTGACCCAGGGCACGACCAGCCTCAACAAAGGAGCAAAGAAGGAGGTGGCTGGCCTCTGACATTTTGGGGGGTTCATCAAAGTGTGTGCCCCAGACCCCGGAGATGGAGCTGCGCAGACACCTGTTACGATCGGAAGCCAGCCTCACAGAGCTGCCCCGCGTCCTGCTCTTGAGCCCTCACAAAAGGGGCTGCTCCCCAGGACGGGGCCTCTCAAGCAACCCCAGCCTGGAAAGCTCCATCTGGCAGCCCCACCAGGCCACTGACTGTCCCTGTCATGACTGGGTGGATTCGCCCCTTCCCCAACCGCCGTGGGCGGGCTGGGCTTCTGCACCCTGTCACTGAGGCTAGGACAGGGACACAGCATTAGCTAAACCTGGAGGTCCCGGACAGCCGGGCGGCTCCCACCTCACCCTTCTCCCCAGTGAGACCCGAGAGTGGAGCGGGAAACACCACCTAGCGCTGTGGTTTTAATTCACCAGCTTTTGTGCCCTGTTCCCCACGAGGCCCGAGGGGCCAGGACTGGGCTCACTGTGGTCCCAGTGGCCAGGAACACAGGATTCCAGCCGGGAGGGACCCCTGCCGGGGCAGAAGTTTCCAATTACCCTAATTGGCTACTGGCAAGCTGTCTGTGGCTAGAATCCTTCCAGAGGGGGCCGGGTTTGATCTCCCACTAATCCGGGGGTCCTCGCGGTGCTGACTGTGTGATCACATCGCGGGCATTTTCACCGAGAGAGGAGACTTCAAAGCAACCGACTTTTGAAAAAATAAAACACAGTAAACAAAAGAGTGCGCGAGTAGAACTGCAAACTCCATCTCCCCCGCTGCCCCCGACCCCCTGGGCCCGGGGCTGGGGGCTGCGGGGAGGAGGCGGGAGGGGGCAGCGTGAAGGTTAGAGAAAAGCTCAGCCTCAGCTGACAAAGGCCGCGGATTGCGGGGGGCGGCTGGTGGGGACCGTGCCTGCCTTTGTCCTCCCGGACATCTGCTACACGTCGCCTGCTGCCAGTTGGCGACTACGGCTGACAGCATGAGGGAACAATGCGAGCCCCGTCTCCGACCCAGTTTTTCAGCCTTCTGAGGTCCTTTCTGACCCAAGCGGTACCCGGCCGAGCGGAGTCAGACATGAAATCCCTCGCACAAAGCTCTGCGGGGACGGGTCTGGGGGGAGGCGGGAGTGAGGAGGGAGGGCCAGGGCCACCAGGAAAAGAAACATGCTTCCCTTATTGGCGTGAGCTGCCGCATGCTCGGGCTGGGGGCTCGTGCGGGGGCTCCTCTCAGGGATTCCATCCCTTCCCCGTCTGGCTCCAGACTGGCCACTGACGCTGCCTGCCTTCCTCCCCGCTTCTTCCTCCAGCCAGGGCCACCCCTGTCCTCCCGCCTGTCCATCTGGCCCTGCGCACCAGGGCCCCAGCTGCCCGCGGGCCGCCCGCCAGGCCCCCTGGCTGTCAGGCTGTCAGTTTCTGGATGGTTCTGTTGTAGTACTGCGTGATGGGGGGCGTCAGAGGGTTCCAGCTGTTGGCGTGGAGCTCGATGACCTCCAGGAGCAGCGACCGGGTCAGCATGGACTCCGAGGGGCACAGCATCTTGTCCCGGGCGCTGGCCAGGAGCTCTGTCATCATCTCGGGCAGCTGCTCCTCCAGCAGCCGGCCTGTGCTCTGCAGCTGCAAGTACGAAGTGGGGTTAGGACGGGACTCGGCCCTGCAACGGCCCGCTGCCCTCCTTGGTTGGGTGGACCGGGGCGGGCACAGGAAATAGCTGGCTTGTCTCAGGGACAGGCAGGCCCAGGCCTCTGTGCCGTGGCAGGAAGGAGGGCGGGGGGCTGGAGGTGGCCACAGCCCAGGGTAAGATCCCTCATTAACGAGTGATCTGCCAGTCAGAACCAGGACATCGCCTGCTGCCCGGGGCAGAAGGGGCCCTGGCCAGGAACGTGCCTCTTGTCCCTTTTACCCAAGAGCCTCCCTCCTACAGGAAGCCTTCCCTGACTACACTCACACCCCCCAACAGCGCCGTGATCTGCTCCCACTGGCGATCAGGTGGCACCGTGCTCATTTCACTTGCTAGGGCGTCTCTCTGGGGATGAGCTCAGTCATTGTTACCTGCAGGCGTCTGCGTGGAACTTGAGAACAGGGACAAAGGCTCCTATTTCCCTTTCTCTCTCCCCTCTCTCCTGCCCCCAATCCCACCCCACCAGGCCCTAGAACTGACCTCTGCCCACGCCCATGACACGAGGGGGCAGAGAAACGTGAACCGGGGAGCAGGCCAGCCCAAGGTCCTGCCCTGCAGAGACCCCGATCCTCTTGAAAAGCCCAACTGGGCAGAAGGAGCCCCTGTTTTCAGGGATCGGAACACCCCCAGGCAGCAGCCCCCAGCCCCTCTCCAGACGATTGCGATCCCCACCTCTGCCCTGCCCCAGTCTTGTCCCACCCATTTTTCTAGGCTCTACCATCTTCACAAAGCCTTCCTCAAGCTCCTAAGTGCCCCCTGACCTCTGTCCTCTGACCTCTCGGGGCTGTGTGCTCTGTGCCCCCATTTATTTTACACACTGCACACCCACTCTGTGTGTGGGGGGGGGAGATCTACCCTTACTCAGACGGGAAGCTGGTTGGGGCTGCTTTCTCCTGCTCCCCCACCTCTCCCTGTCCCACGCTCCTTGTAGGGTGCCCAGCTGGATCCCAGCAAATGAACGGGGGACGGGGGGCGGGGGGACCATCCCACAGACCTGAGGCTGCGGTTGGGCTCCCAGCACTTTTGGCTTCTAGGCTCCCTGGGTGAGGCCTCTGTGGCTGGCAGAAGCCGCCTGACAGTGTGCTCGTGACAGCCCTGGCAGGTTCTCTTCCCTGCTGCGGGAAGCCCCCCTCCTACCTGCACCCCACTGCGTGATTCTAGGCTGTGTGCGGAGAGCAAAGACTGCCCCGGGGACTGGGCCAAAGCCAGCCTCTAAAAGGAAGATCCCAGAGGAAGTTTCCATGAGCAGGGGCTGCACTGTGGGGACAGGAGTGGCACCTCCTGAGGGGGCTGCTGTGGGGTAGGCAGTGCCAGTACAGGAACACCAAGCATGAGGCAAAGCAAAGGGGGCACAGGGGGTCGTCTGGAGTCTCTTAGGTCATTTGTGTGGCATGCCTGATCCAGGAAGCAGGTGGCCTTAGGGGGCAGAGAGCAAGTGGGCAGTGCCAGCCTCTGTCTGTCTCTCTAGAGACCCAGTCTCGCTCCCTCCAGCCAGTGGTGGGCTGCTCTCTCCATGAGCATTTACTCTGGTGTAGGGTGGACAGTTCTGGATGCAGAAGCCCATGCCCACTCCTGGAGCCATCTACCCCCAACCTTGCCTGAAAAAGCTTTCCCTTGGCCTTGCGGATGCCTCCAGCGACCCCTGCACCCCACGACTGCTAAGGCACTCGGGGTGCACGGGGTCTGAGGTCAGGACGTCTGTGGCCCCCGGCTTACCTCCATGGAGCAGCAAAGGACAGCGTCTTCCTTCACATCCTGAGATTGCAAGAGCTGTGGGAGAGAACGGCAGAGAACGCCATGAGGGTGACGGGCTAGCTGCAGGCCCTCGTGCGCCCCTGCAGCCCCTGCTCCCTGCCCTCCTCCCTCCAGCCCCAGCCCCAACGCGGCTTGTAACAGACACCTCTGAGGGTCAGGCCCGAGCGAGAAGCCCGTAAAAGAAAGAGAAAGCAAGCTGCAGCCATCAGCAGTGATTTTTCTGACGGGCTTTGGGAGCCGGAGGACAGTGCTCATGTGGGGTGGAGCCCCGGGCCAGGTCAGCACGCCGATTAGAGGACATCGCAGAGACCGGCTGCCGTGCTGGGATTGTCCCCTGTTAACAGCTGGGCAGCTAAGATCCTTAGAGAAGTGAAATCAACTTTGAGGTGTCCAATTGGTGACTCCCCTGTGTGTGAGGAGGCCCAGCCGTGGGCTCTGGCGCCCCTGGGCCCGGCTGTAGAAGGATGTCCAGTAATCAAAGCACGCTTCTCCACTGGCCCTGTGCTGTGGACTGTCCTAATCACGGCCACATGGCCTCGCCCAGAGAGAAGCTGGAGCTGTCGTTAACCGTGGTCCAGTGTTTGGGTTGCCCATGCCCAGATCTAGGCTGCCTGGCTCACTCTCTCAATCTCTTTCTCTTTTTGTTTTTGAGACAGGGTCTCGCTTGTTCACCTTGGCTAGACTAGAGTGGCATCATCATAGCTCACTGTAACCTCAAACTCCTGGGCTCAAGTGATCCTCCTGCCTCAGCCTCCCAAAGTGGCTGGGACTACAGGCACGTGTACACCATGCCTGGCTAACTTTTCTATCTTTTGTAGAGATGGGATCTCTCCATGTTGCTCAGGCTGGTCTTAAATTCCTGGCCTCAAGTGATCCTCCCTCCTCATCCTCCCAAAATGCTAGGATGATAGCTCCCAACTGTCTTTTAAATGGAGATGTAATTCCCAGAACGTGAAATCTACCATTTGAAAGTACTGGTATATAAGTTAGTGCTTTTTAGGACATTCCCAGAATTCTGCTGCTGTCACCGCTATTTAATTCCTGAGCATTTTCATCGTCCCCCAAACAAACCCATCCCAATTAGAGGTCACTGCTCATTCCCTCCTCCCTGCTGCTCCAGGCAGCCTCCACTCTACATTCTGTCTGCATGGATCTGGCCACGCTGGACGCCTTATATACACGGAACCATACAAGATGTGGTCTTTTGGGATTGGCTTCTTTCATTTAACAGTGTTTTCAGGGTTCGCTCATGTTGCAGCGTGCATTGGTATTTCATGCCTTTTTATCGCTGAATAATACTTCGTTGTGTTGGGTACATCCCGTTTGTTTATCATTCATCAGCTGATGGCGTTTGTGCTGTGCCCACTTTCTGGCTATTACGAACAAGGCTGCCGTGAACATTCACGGATCGGTTTTTACGTGGATGCGTGTTTTCAATTCTCTTGGGTAGATGCCTAGGAATAGAATCGCTGGGTCATGTGGTAGCTCTATGTTTAGCTCTTTGAGTAACTTCAGGCCTGTTTTCCACGGTGGCTGAGCCATTTTACGTTCTCAACAGCCATGCACGGGGTTCTGGTTTCTCACCAATGCCTGGCACTTCCCAGTTTTCTGATTCACTCTCAAGACCCCAGCAGCACTAGGGTGCTCCCCACCACCTGCCCGAAACTCCCTCTGGGCACAGCCTCCAGAGCACCCAGTTCTCCCCAAACTCCGCTGGCCACTCCTCCCACTGTCCCCTCTGCTGCTTCTCCTCCCAGTCCCTAAAATAGGTGTCCCCCAATATTTTGCTCCCCAAATACTTATCCTCAGACTTCTGCTCTTCTTGACACCAGCTCATCCTGCCACGTTGACCACCCAGCTATCAGGGGACCCCACATCCAGCCTGTCTGCAGGGACCCCCCCACACTTGCTGGGCTTCTCTTTCTGGATGACACCCTGGCTTTACCGCCTGTGCCTCTAAGCGCTCACTGTTCCCTCCAGCTCAAAACCGCTGTCATTTTCCTTTTCTCTCATCACCCACAACCAAGAGGGTAGCAGGTTCTGTTAGTTTCCCTCTGAAATGTCTCTAGAACATTTAGCACCTCCCTTTCCTGGTCTCTGGCCTCACTTGAAGGCAAGGTCCTGTGGCTTCCCTCGTGGGGGCTGCCTGGCGTCCTGACTCATGTCCCCATTCCCAGGTCCTTCCCCCGCAGTCCCTGCACACCTGGCCAGAGTGATCTCCCCACCACCCCATGCCACACCCCAGGCGACCACGCGGCTCAGGACAAGCTGGCCACACAGGCAACTGTCACAAGGGAAGCCTGACAGCAACAGTGAGTCACGGGGTTCCAGGTCAGGCCACAGTTCCCTGCTAACCCACAACTCGAGGAGCCCAGTAACGCCTGATAGAATTCATACAAAGGTGGTTCACTGTTTTTATGGAGAAACATTTTGGGACATTTCATCCACAGGAAGTTTTGAGCCATGTATAGCACTCATTCAGTAAATATGGAGTGGAATGTGAAATGAATGAAAACGTACTACATACCAGGTAAAACACAAGAGCCACTTTCCCACAATTTCCACAACCTCGAAGCCAGTGTAGACCAATCAGGCTATAGACTCAGTCTATCTGACCTCGACCTGGCCTCTCCACCCCATGCCAGACGTCGGAGCTCCTTGGTCACACTGTAAGAGATGCTCAGGCGGCACTTGAGAAAAGCAGTACAGATCTACCAAAAAAAACCCCCCCAAAAAACCAAACACACAATAGTGGGGGCTCATCCACTTCACAAATTCACAGCTATTTGCTGAGTACCTGCTCAGGCCCAGCACGTTCCCTGGAGGGAACAGAGCAGACCGAGTCCTACTCCGGGGACTGGAGATGAGACAATAAACCAATCAATATTTGTATCAGATGGTGATAAGCACTATGCTAAGCACAGCGACCGATATGTTAATCAGCTTGATTGACTCATTCCACTTGTACACATATATCCAAATGTCCCATTGTACCCCATAAATGTATACAATTATGATCTGTCAATCAAAAATAATGTTAATAACTAATTTTTTAAGAAGGTGGCCTTGAGTAAGGGTGTCAAGGGTACTGGCTTAGTGGCGAGGGAGGTCAGGGTGCCAGGCCTATGACGCCTGGTTGGTGTGGTCTCCGCAGAAGGCTCAGGGCGGGGGAGGGCAGGGGCCTGGCCCGTGGAGGAGGCCGGTGTGGGGGTGAGGAGCACACGGGAGCGTCTCAGGAAACGAGGCCAGGGAGGCAGCGGGGCCAGGGCCCCTCAGCCTTGCAGGCCAGGACAAGACTCCGAGTTTTCCTCTGAGCAACGCGAGCGCCTTGGCAGGGCTGAGCGGAGGCAGGACCGGGCCCGGTTATGTTCTAAGTGGACCATTTTCCCTGCTGTGGGAGGCAAGGGCAGATGCGGAGGGACCACAGACAGAGTGAGGAGTCAAGTCTGTACATATTTGTCTCTGGAGTGGATGGGGAAGGGGAGAGAGAGAGAGAGAGAGAGAGAGAGAGAGAGAGAGAGAGAGAGGTTTCCATGGGTTTCTGTGACCTCCCCTTCGCTCAGGATAAAGGCTAGACTCCATATTTGGTGCTTGGGCTCCAAGTGATTTTCCTATCTCAACCGCCATACTCTCCATCCTTCAAGGCTGGGTCTCGTCCCAGCTGCCCCCTGGCACCTTCCCGATCACCCTGGCCCACTGCCCTCCTGCCCCTCGCCCCCAGGGCACTCCCTGCCCCCCCACCCCGTGCTGGCCACACGGGCGAAAAGCCGCGTTCCAGCGTGACCTGTCGGCTTCCTGAACACAGACGGCGCCACTCTCATCTTCGCTGCTCTTTAACGCAGGTGTGGCACCCGGCAGCAGCGGGGCCTAAGTGTTGGTGGACTCGATCTACGTGCTGCTTTCTGCATTTGCAAATGGAAGGGCAGAGGGTGAGGAGAGCCTGCAAGAGCAGGTTGAAGGCGGCATCCTCACCCACTGACAGGAGAGCTGGGGCCAGAGTTTGACCTGGGCACGGCACAGTCAAGGAGAGCCGAAATCACACACGACCAACGCAGGGGGCCGTCCACACTGCAGGCTCGAAATCCAAGCACTTACCCCTCATTTATCCCGTTCTCCTGTCCTGCTGCACCTAGCCACCCAGCCCAGGCGCCCACCCAGCAGGAGCCATGGCATTCGCTTCCGGAGGCCGAGGACACAGGGCAGTCTTCAGCACATGCAGACAGGCACAGGGGCCCAGCAGGCAGGTCGGGGGGCTCGACTGGCCAGAGATGCTCTAAGGGACCAGACCTCATTCCCTCACCTGTGCAGGGCTCTGTCCAAACATCCCTTCATCCCTGCCCAGCCTGCTCACTTCCCACGTCCCTCCTGGCTCACTTCTCTCTACAGCCCCTGACACAGTATCTGCTTGTGTGCCTACTGTCTGTCTCCCCGTCTTTGTGACTGCAGGACCTGGTGACTGCCCTTCCTGTCCCTTGGGCCGTTGTCCCTGCCCCTACCCTGGCCAGGGCAGGGCTCTCAGGCAGAGCTGGGGGGGTGGGTTCTCAACCCCAGGGCCTCTCCTCCACCTTATCTTTCTCCTGGTTGTTTGGGAAAGTCTGCCTTAAGCCAAAAATCACATCGTGTGCGATAGGCTCTCTTGCAAAAGGCCCACTGGGTTTTCTCAAGGAAGTCAGGGAGGTCTGGGAGTTTCTCATCTTACTTTTCCCTCCCAGTTGCTGGACCGCAGAGAGCACAGGAAGGGACTAGGTGGTTGCAGACTATGCACTGTCCTCCCTCGCACAGGGGCTTGGCCTCTCATTGCCTGCTTTTGAGAGTGGACTCTCAGGCCCTTAGACTGAAGGGACCATGGAGGGCAGCCCCCTCAACCTCCCTCGGACAGGGGGCAGCTTTGCTGGCTGGGGGCACGTGGCTGGGAAGTCACCGCCTGCTGCCTTCTATGTGTAACAAGGGGTTGACCTGCCTCCCCCAGGACCCCTTGACACAACTCCGTGGGCTTCCTCCCTGGGACCCCAGCG